CAGACAAAAGCAATACTCGACTACCAGGATTTATAAATCATTATAATCATCTCTTGTGAGCATCACAATAAACAGTATATTGAACTATGTACAATGGAAGACAACGACACATTCAGACTGAGTCAATCCGAGATCAATCTGTAAAACAAGAGTCCGTCCATGGACACAGAAATGGGGAAAGCGCTTTGAGACATGTCAAGAACAAAAGTTCCCAGCGACAAGAACAAAACACTTGGCAGAAAGAGAAATGTACAAGGAGCAAAAAACAGCTTCTGCTCGTCACAAACAGAAACAAAATAATCAATGCAATGTTACATTTGGTTCCACGGTTGTAAACTAGATTGTATTCATGTCACTATTGCATATGCCATTAGGTAAAGTGTGTCGACAAGGCAAAGAGATCGCTATAATAAAATAGACAGTATTTTTTTTCATATAGTCACAGAGACCGTGAGGGAGAAAAGCATACAATACACTGTACAACCCCAAAGCAAAAACCCTGTCCCCATTTTAAAAATCTGTAGCCAAAGTCTTTACACAGGAATATCATTGCAACATAGGTCAAATCTAGGTACTCTATGTATTTTCAATAGATTGTTTTAGTTAAACTCTTTTTATGTACACAATATACACATTCAAGACTGAAGATAAATAGATACCACCACTTGGCGTGGTACAGCTCCAATATTACTCAACTCCAAGTCAACCGTTTCCCACGTTATGTTTCTGCGGTGTTCCCACCAGCTGAGCGATACATTCAGACATGGTTAAAAGTTTTACAATCTACTGTACACTAAAGGGGCTGGGAGCCAGTTGGAGTCGGCACAGTGGAGTTAGGATGTCCGTAGAGGGCTTTTAGAGCATCTTAACAAACCATCTGACGGCCATTTTGGAGGTTCAAAGCTCTCGGGGAGCAGCAGAATTAAATTATTTTTTTTTTTTTTAGTTTCTTCAGATTAAATTACTTTGTGACTTTTAAAAGAAAAAACATTCTTCCTCTAACAAATGAAAAGTAGAATTTATCAGCAATAAAACACACAGCTGGTATAACGTGTGTGTATAACTAGTAGCTAGTCAGTCAGTAGCTGAGTAGTAATGTTAGCAAACAATAGACTTTACTAAGTCAGTGCTGCTATTACACTGTTGCAGCATTTAGCCGTATCCCGTGATTGTTACACAGTTGTCACATTGTTAAATCGTTACATAGTCTTGCTTTAACGTCTAGCATTACATAATTCTCTTCAGCCAAATCAAACTTTTTACGCTGTCTGCAATATAGTTACATTTTCCAGACAGCTGGTTCTCCAGTGAACCTCCATGATGTTGCCAGATGTGGCTGTTGGCCCCTTTTCTACTTTGTCTGTGTTGCAGAGCCCTCCTCCCCTCACTGCTCGCACACAGGCGGCCCCTCAACTCGCTGACCGGAAACTGTCTCGACTGTGCCCCCCAACCTTGACATTTATCATCGGCTCCGCCCCTCCGTTGTCACCTCTAGACAGTTGTACCGTCAAATGATATCACAGCAGGGCGGCCTGCATTGAGCTTAACAGCAGGCCGTAGGTTTGAAGGTAGGAGTGTGTGAGGTTTTCAGGCTCAAGTGACTGAGGAACTGTGGTAGGTACAGTGCATTCAGATGCCTGGTGTTGTGGGGTCTGAGCTGAGTTATAAGGACATGCATAACTCTTAGAGACATTTAGAAATATATTTCTTTAAGTCCAGCGCTTTGATTGGACAAAAAAATAAACTAGGTTAGAATAAATAAGAAATTAGTAATTAAGAAAATACTTTAATATCAATACGATAAATCAGTTCTCAAGCAGCCCCACTGTACTGTACATTTCTGAAATAATATTTGAATGGTAAGCTAGGCTTGTTACTTTCACAACAGAATAACAATATAGAGATGTAGGTAGACATACTGAAATAGAATATTTATCTCTTAAAAAACATAAGGACAGTATAGACATTAAGGCATTGGGTAGGTCTTATCAGACATTCATCTTCCAAAAATAAATAAAATATCTACTCTAAATATAGTTATATACTCAGTGTACCTTGGTATCCTCGCTCCCTGGGCCATTTCTATAGTTTCATTGTTTACTGACACACCGGCTGGTCGTATTCTGCCTCAGAAACACACACTCGCACTCATACAGACAGCCATAAAACTACCCTCAAGTAAATAAATAGTATCTGGGTACCATTAGAGTTTTGTTATTGTCTGACTATCTTTGCTTCTGTGCTTGCGCCAAAATTTGGGTCAGAGGAAAAAAATGGCCTCCGAAAAGCGCAGGGAACATGAGACGCACAACCACATACACACGGCACCGCAACGCCAACACAACACCACACACACACAACACACCAGTCCCATCTCAGCAAATTCATGACATGCATAGATGATGACCTGCTTGTTTCCTGTGTGCATGTGTTTGTGTGGCGAGTGTCACTGAGGGTCCAGACAGTCTTTTAGGGGCCACGGTGCCCAGCAAGAAAGGGCTAAGTTGATTTCTTTTTTTTTTTGTCGAGCAGCAGGTTGTGTAGACGCCAAGTCTGAAGATAAAGGGGTCCTTCAGTCTGAAAGAGATGACAAAAGAGAGGAAAAAGAGGGAGTTAGTGGAAATATCTAATGATTTCAACAGTCTTTTCTTAAGGTATTTCACTACAAGACATTGTATGTTGTTAACAAACACATACTGTTAACTACTGAAGAACTACAGTGTTTTTTTGGTGTTTTGATGTTTCAAAACTCATTGTGTGAAACCAAGGAACGTGTCCAATTAATTTCTTCCTCATAAAACATTTGTAAAGCTGATTTACTTGTATTTGTTTGCTTTCAACTTTGCTAGTTTTCTTCTTCCCAGTTTGTAGTCTCATTATTTCCCCCGCAAACAACACGGGAGCCAACAATTCGGACCTTTCAGACTGCAGACCTGAGAGAACAGTCTCATACTGTACAGTGTGAACTCAGATTAGGTTGTTTTTGTGCCACAATAACAAGGAAAAACAGCTTGAATAACAAGAACAGAGTGCTGCACACACACGTTAAATAGGGGGGATTTAAATGTGTTTTAATGCGTATTTTTGTTTTTAATGAGGATATTCGGTATGAATTTTGGTTCATTATGATGTGTTTATGTGTGTGTGTG